TGAATTAGTTTCTTTTGACACTATATATTGTATCAATTGTGCAAATATGCATCTTGCATTTTCTTAGATTTTAACCATTATAGGTGTTGTGATTATTGGTGTATGATAAAACAATAAAATCTTTTGAGTAATTTTTTGCCAAGATCAAACAATGGTTAAGGTCCTTATTGAAGACATGCCTAAGACATGTCATGTTTTGTGTACATGATACTTAATACAAAATAGAATAAAACACCTCACTAACTTGATACATTAATTGACTTTGAGGAAGTTTGGACAAACATGATTGAGGAATACAATGTTTATAACAATAATTAGATCGAATCAATATATGTCATAAAGAAAAAATGGACATCATGTTACATGAATGAAGTGTTCACACTTGTAATGCAAAGTACTCAATCAAGTAAAAGTTTAAATTCTAACTTCAAAGCTTGTATGAAGCCTGATATTGACATAAATAAATTCTTTGCATACTTTGAACGTGTTGTGAAAGACAAGTGTGACGATGAATTAATTTGTTAGTATGAGCCCTACCATAAGCTATTAATATTAAGATATGAAATGTCTCTCATACTGGTACAAATAGGTAAGCTTTATACACATATTATATTTAACCTATTCCAACAAAAATTTTGATTCATTCATAGCCTAATACATATAAGAAAGGATTGAATTCTCCTTTTGTTTGAATGTGTCATTACTATAGTCAACCACAAGAGATCATAGAGAGTATTAGTTAATCATGTAACATCTATATGTTACAATTGTACAAAAATTTGAAACATTTGGCACTTTATTTTCATACATTAAAGAGTTTTGAAGTAAATGATGTCAAGGTTGTGCTTGAAAACTACATCATTAAGAGATGACAAGAGAATGTCATTCTGACATTATACATAATGTCAAAAGAATAGAGATTGAGGGGATCCTAAACTGGTTACCACATAACAATATTGACAATTAGCTTTTAAAATGATAAGACTTTCATCTGATGTATCTATTTCTAAATAATACTCTCACTTAGTATGTAAAAGTGTATATGTTGTTTGTCGTCAAATCACACACATTTGGTTACAAGCACAAAATATTGAGATTCATAATGATGATGCTGCTATATTGGTCATCAATGATAGTATACAAACAAAAAGTTTCAAGCAATAACCAAACATAAAGAGAAATAGGTATAAACAATTCAAAATTTAGATTGAGCTACAAGAAAAAGGAAAAAAAAAATGCTTCAATTGATCACAAAATCAACATTCTTAGTTACATATGTTAATGCATATATCATAAAGAAGTCAACTTCTACATCCTTATTGTAACCATGTGTTATTTATTTTGTCAATATTTTAGGAATATCAACCTACCCCTTTTGAACACTATGAGGTATATTATTCGTCCATCTGATGATCCTCTCACTTCTAACAATCAATTCAATTTATTACATTTTTTATGGTAAGATCATTTAACTTAAAAATACAAAGTTATATTTTCTTACTTCATTATATAATTTTTGGTATTTTATCTTTCTTTTGTTTGCAGAACCCCTTGATGATACAACTTGGTCAATTCTTGATCAACCATAATTTTATTTTGTACTTTATTTATTTTGTTCATGTTAGCTATATTTCTGTAGTTATGTCAATATTATAAATGTATATTCTAAAATGGGGAAAGATTTTCTCGTACAAGTGTAAGTCTAAAAACTCTTACACTCTACTTAAGTCTTTCATTTAACTTACATTTAACGGTTAGTGAAGTAATAAATTATAATTCGTTAGATGTAAATTAAATGATAGGCTCAGATCGAGTGTAAGAGTTTTTAAACTTACACTAAGTAAAAAGATCTAAATTATTTGATGTAATTTATGTGATAAATTTTCTTTACATGTTTGTTGCAATTGAATTCTTGATTTTGCAAGTCGGGAACCATTTTTTGCATTTTTCGCTTAAGCAAAACATTTTGCTTAAGCTAGTTAGTCTTTGCTTAAGCAAAAGATGAGGTCCTTATAACATTACTCTTTATCCAATGTTCTCTTAAGCCAACAAAGATTCACTGAAGCAAATCATGTTTCGCTTAAATAATTTCAGTTTTACTTAAGCAAGTTGAATTGTCTGAGAGGGTTGCTCTTTGTTCAATTTCACTTAATAAATTTAAATTTCGCTTAAGCGAATTTGTTTTCACTTAAGTGAACTATTCTTTCTTAAACTAATATTATTGTCCCACAAATTATAGTCTCTGATGAATTTTCACTTAAGCAGTTTTGCACTCATTTAAGCAAATTTGCTAGTTTCATGGTTTAGTCTCTTATAAATTTGTTTAAACTAATTCTAACAATCTCTCACTTAAGTTAAAATTTCAAAATTTACTTAAATGAGCCTAAAATCGCTTAAATAAAAAAAGAATTAAAAGTTCAATTTTTGCACAAACTAAAAAAAATTTAAATACTTTGTTAAAGAGGTTTAATTTTTTTCTTCTTATTATTAATAGTGACATAAAAATCTCTAACATCTCATGAAGGGTTATTCAATTGAAGCTAATTATGTTAGCTTCATACTAGATTTGTATCACTCTATAAATACTTTGATTTATCACTTTATAAAATAAGTTTTTCATTGACATTGTCTTATCCAACTATTTCAATTTTTCCCATTTTTTTAGCCTCATTTTAAACTTCTTTATCTTATGTATGCTAAGGTTAAAAAATTCTGGTCAGTTGCTGAGGATGGATCAATTATTGACTCTCAAATGTCAATACAATCACACTTTTATATTTAATTTAAATTATAAAATCTATAAATTCTTTACTAATAAACCATACTTAAATATTACTCTTTTATATTAATTTTAATTTAATCTTACTTTTTGCATTACTATTTTTTTTTCAACATTATCCGTCTTATTATTTAAAATCTTATTTGAGTAAATTTCTCACTAAGCACTTATAAAATGAAAAAGAATTAAGTAATAAAATAAAATAAATTTCTTTTATAAATTAAACTTAACTTTTACTTATCTAATTTTTTTTAGAAATTTTCTTATTTAATTTATTTTTAATTTGAAGATATAAGTTATTTTCAACTTATAAAAAAAGTTTTATTTATTTTTATACTAATTTTTTTTTATATAAAAAGTTCTCTAAAATTTTATCCAAACTAAACCAAATTCTTTCTATCACAACCAAAAGAAAATAATTTTATATAAACATATGTTTTTATCATGGATTGTAATGGAAAAACACATTTATAGAGATATTAAATATTGATATAATATTTTCTCCTTTTACTCAATAAAATACAATGTCTTAATTCACATTTGAAACATGATCTTAATTTTAAAAAAAATTAATATTTTAATTACCTTTAATTAAACTTGCTCTTACTTGTAAAAGTAGAACAATAAAAAAAAATAATATGTAGTTTATGGATCTAGATTTCTTCTAGTTTGTGCAAAAATTAAACGTCCAATTATATTTTTATTTAAGTAAAATTGATTTACTTAAGCTAATTTTAAAGAAAAATTAATAACACAAAAAATATACAAAATTTACTTAAATCACCATTTATATAATCAACATTTTCCATGGATAGAAATGAATTAAAGTACATGAAACTAGAACTCAAAGAAGAGGGTTAGAGGATTTTGGAAAAAAAAGGACTCTAGGAAGAAAAAAGTGTGAAAATGGGAAGCTAGAGGGAGGAAGGGTTAAGGTAAATGGAAAAGTAAAAGAAGAAGATAGAATAACTTTGTAAAAGTAAGTTAGGAGAGAGAAAAAAAGAGTTTAGTGTTTAGAAAGTTTGACGAGTTAAAGAGAAAGAGAAAGAGAAAGAGAAAGAGAAAGAATTAGATTTAAAAAAAATATATTTGATTAAAAATTTTATATGATTATAAATTTAATTTTAAAATATAAATTTTTAAAAACATAAATTATTTTATTTTTAACTCATTTTAATTCAAATATTTTTAAAAATTACAATTATTTAAATTAAATTTGTAAAGACTTATTCAAACTCATATAAAATTATATTAATTATCTTTTAAATATCATTGTGAACTTATTTCTTATAAATAATATTTTATGAAATATAGGCTTAATGTTATTAAGTATTTTTAAGGTACAGATTAGAAAATAAAAAATTTTAAATACAACAAAATATTATTTTATTTTATGACTAGTTTAATAGCACATGAAATATATAAATATTTTATTTTAAAAAAAAAATAATTTAATAATTAAAAAATAAAATTTATAACATAAATCATTAAAGTGTACTAATTTAATAATATGTGCAATACACAAATATTATAAGATATAAAATATATTATAAAATAAAGATTAATAGATGGATTGTTCATAAAGAAGTGTCACGGTAATAAAATCATTAATATATCTATTCATAGATTTAAATAATAAATATATCAATTCTAATACCTAATTAGTAAAAAATTAAGTATGTAGTTTCAAAATATAGCAATTTGTAATAAGAAAATATAATTTGAAAAATGAGTTTTTAATAATATTTTTAATGCACAAATTTTAAAATTAAAACCTTTTAAGTATATGCTACCTAAATTAAATTTTTTAATAAATGCATTTATTGTTCACATTGCATAGTTAATGACAAATAAAAACTTAATTTTTTATTTTAATTTATTTGATTTTTTCACTACATTTTTACTTCTTACACAACCCTAAAGTAGTTTAGATTTAAAAGTAATTTTTAAATTATAAAGGAATCACTTAATTTTATTCTATTGTTTAATTTATACAACAAATAATAAAAACACCTTTCTATTATTTTTACTATTTTAAAAAATAAAAATAATGTAAAATAAAAAAGATTATTTATGAAACTAAACATGCATTTTACTGTTCCAATATTTTCTAATAATTTTCAAAATTTGGCCTCCTTTTTTTAGGGAATTTTCTTTTCCTATATAAAAAATGTCACGTTCAATTCATTAAAGTGACAACTCGTACTCGGTTTCCATGGGATATCGTACTCCACCCTCGTTGGTATGTGTCAGACACTGAACGAACCAACTTCCTTGTCCCAATCAACACCAACCTCCAACTCAAACCCATAAAAAAAAAATACTTTTAATTTTTTTTTCATGTTATTTTCTAATTTTCTATTGGAGTAAAAGCTGTGGCAATGGCATGGTTGGCATGAAGGGCGAAAGAGGTGATAGAGGTTCTATGGTGTTTCACTTTCCTCTTCACAATTCAGTGTTGCCATTCTCTTTTCTTTTCTGGTGTGAAGCTTTTGTTTTGGGTTTTTTATGCTAGGTTGGAAATTGGAGCTTGTTCTTGTCCTCACAGTGAACCGTAGCTTGAGCTGGGTCAAGGTTAAAATTTCAAAAAGGTTTGAACTTTGTGCTTACCAAACGTTCTTTGTGTTTGAATGACTAGTGGGTTGTGCTACTGGTCAAGTTTACTTCTCACAAAAGCTTTTTTTAATTAGTAAGTGATGTTTTGGTCTTTTTGAGGCCCACTTATCATGTGTTTATGAAAAGTTAGCAAGGAAAAACTAGTTCAAGTGCTTCTGAGCTTGTATTTTGCAGGGTTTCATTGCTAACTTTTGTTTTTTAATTACTGTTTTCTCTCATTTATAGCTATATGGTGAATTTGGGGCTTAAGAGTGTACTGCTGATTTTGTTTGCGGGGTTTGTTTGTTGTTTTTGAATTTTGCCAAATTAAAGAGTTACTGAGAATTTGAAAATACAGATTCTGGGATTGAATATATGTTATCCAAACGCTAAAGAATCAGTAGAAGGTTTTGATTGGAAACAAAGGAAGATCTCAGTCAAATGGAAGATGATGAGTTGGTGACAACTGGGAGCAAATCTGAAGATGAAAAGCTTGATTCATCTTCTTCTGAGGCAGAGGATTTGCAGGAAAGTTTGGAGCTGAAATCATCGGAAGTTAGTTCTTTGCCGCCAATAGGTTAGTGAAGTTAGCTATAAGTTAATTTTTTTTTTTAATCCTCTTTTGCAGTTGATGACTGTGAAATTGGCATTGGAGTGTTGTCAAGTGGGTTAGCAAAGGTGGTGTTAGTCGGTGTTAGAATTTTAGGTTGTTCTGCTGAACTAACTTTTGCTACTTATGCTTGACAAGTCTCTCTCTCTCTGTCTACAAAAAATAAATATTTTTTCTGGCTTTGTACATGAAAGAAATGTCACTTTCACATTTTGACTTTTCTTTGATCCCCAGATTTTATTGCTCTAGGATACTATGAAAGAGTAATAGTTCTTTTAGCAGTAAAACTTTAATGTATGTCATGGCATAGATCATTGTAGTTGTAAGCTGCTGTAGTGTTTTTTTTTACTGGATTGGTATCTAAAATTTAATTCCAGTCAGTGGGGAAATAAGAATGGAGAAAATGAAAGTTTTTGTGTCAATTGCAAAAAGGAAAAAGACTTGCATTTTCGCATATTGGCCTGCTTAATGTGCAAATTTGTAGAGACTACCCTGGTATTAGTAGAGCCATAATAGTAGTTGAGGAAGGGCACATCTCAAGGGTGAAAATGAGGGCTTTAAAATGGAGAAGTGTGAGAGAGTGAGAGGAGCAATCGTGAAGAGAAACATAAATTGTAAAATGGAAAACTGAAAAGGATGCGATACGAGGCCTCATGAATTAATGCCAATATTTAGAAATTGCTTCATGAATTGAAATCCCTTAGACTTTGTTTGAGAGTTTGGAGGGAGAAGGAGAGGGAAGAGAATAGTTTGAGGGCTATGGGGAGGAGAGGAGAGGAGAGGAGAAGGGAGAGAGAAAAGGGGTTAACAAAAGAAATATCCTAATTTTGGGGAAATAAAAAAATGAGTTTATGGTGGCTTATAAAAAGTCCTCCTCATATTTAAAATCTCCCAAACAAGAGTTACCATCAAGTAAACCTTCCCCTTTCTTTCCTTTCCCCAGTAAAATTAACTCTCAAACAAAGCAGTCAAATGAGGAGGACTTATTATGGTGGGCCTAGGACTTATTTTCCTTATGTAAATGCTTTATCCAAAGTGGAGCTTTCATTTTGATAAAATATCCATTTTTCATTATTTCGACTCTCACAAATTTATATCTAGAAAGCCACATTTTTATTAAGTTATTTTCAATATTTGAAGCTTTAATACCTTCAAAAATTAATTTTGGTTTTTGATATATCACAATTGCATATGTTGATTCATGTAGCTGACCCTCATTGTGGGATAAGACTTGATTATTGTTGTTGTGCATGTATACCTCCTATCTTGCGTAATTGCTGTATGCCTTGCCTGTTTTGACTGTTTCTTGGTTCTTTTGAAAGGATAATTTTATATGTTTTATAATATTGATCTTGCTCATGAAGGTTTGGACCATTTCATCACAGAGCCTGTTGGAACTGCAAGGAACCTGCTTGTTGCTGACCATGAGATTATGTTTTCTGAATCAATGATGGAGAAATGGGGGTCTCAAAGGCAAGACCTAATATTGGACAGGCTGTCGGAGTGTGATAAGGTAGACACAGGTGTTGTATCATGTATGTAGTCTTATTTTTTCTAAATATGCTTGTGCATTTAATTCAAATTTGAGCAAGTTATATAAATGGTTGTTTTTATGTTCTGTTTAATATTGTATGAAAGATGCAAACCTGGAAATTGGTATTTTAACATTTATATATGTTCAACATCCATGTTAATGTGCTGACTCTAACCTTTTGTTCGCATATATTTTTTACGTTTCGTTGAGGAAGATGTCTCTCTAGGCTTACTATCCAAATGCAATTGTTTTAAATTTAGTTAAATGTTGTCACTTCATATTAATACTTCGTAACTTCTCATCAGTGAAGTATAACATCTTCATCTTGTTTTCCTTTCCTGCCCCCTGCAAAGCATTACAAGCTTGTCTACTTCAGCCTTTATGTTGCATGCCTTCATAGCTTTCTTCTGAACACTGTGGTCTGTATTTGTGATTTATTTGGTAGAGTTGCCAGATTCTTTTGATTGGTCATGACACTCTTATGTTGTTTCTCAGCTAAAGCTGATTAACTTAGTGAAGATACAAAATGATGGGACTGTTGAAGTTGATCTAGAAAAAAGTGGACCAATTGCATCAGAATTGTTGGAACTCCAATCTTTTGAAGAGTCGACAATAAGTGGATCTCTCGTCTCTGAATCAACAAAGGCAGCTCCCTGCTTAGAAATTGTCATGCTTGTGGTTGGAACTCGAGGCGATGTGCAACCTTTCCTGGCCATTGCAAAAAAACTTCAGGCATGTTTGAATATTTCCCTCCAATCCATTCTGGTGCACAAGAGAACTTAAATATCAAATTCTTGTGATTTTTTTGTTGCTTATTGTATTTCTTGTGGTACAAATTTTTCTAATATATTGATATTGCTTTTTCTGTGGGTGAGTCAATTCTTTCTAACTAATAGAATCAATCTGGTACGTGGTGTATTTTGAGTTTTAGATTTTTTTTTTTTTCCAATTTGATGATAACATCCGTTGCTGGTTACCTGTGGTCTGGCTTTTGTCTATTCCATTCTTTAACATGATCAGGGTTACCTTTTGTTTCTACTAGGGACTGCAAGAAATTGAAGATAAAAGCTTAAAATGAATAAATCTGTTGACATGTATTTTACTTTAATATAAACTTGGGATGTCGATTTTACTGTAAATTGCATTATTTGTGAAACTTAGATGTCATAGTATATGTATGCTTTATCATGTGGCCATTGGGTATAATAACAAGTGATTGAAGTTCAACCTAACTTTTTTTATTCTGGGAAGGGCTTTCCCTGGTCTTCCGTAGTTTTACTTAGCTTCAACAATAGTCCTACCGTCAGTAGCCCTACTGTTACTGCAACAAAAAACATAGCATACCATGCAATTAATTCAGTTATATTCACACTGTTGAGATGCAACTTGTATTTGCCTAATTGTTATGAGATTTGTACTACCGATTTTATTTTATTTGAGAGAATTCAAAATCATGATTTCCCAATTACATAGTTAAATTCTATATCCAAACCCCAAGTTTTTCTGAATTCACACTTTCTGCAGGAGTATGGTCATCGTGTTAGGCTGGCAACTCATGCTGATTTTGAAACATTCGTAAAGTCTGCTGGTGTTGATTTCTATCCTTTGCATGGTGATCCTCGTGCTTTGGCAGGATGTAAGGCCAAAAAGATTCCTTTTAATTACTGCCATTTTCTTTGGTTCACCTATTCAACAGAGCATGATAGGATGCACTGGTATCTTCTTGGGGCATAAATACTTCAAAATCATTTAGTATTAATTTCAATATTCTATATAGGTTGTTATACTCTGGCCTTTTATTCTGGGCTGGAACTGCATATGGACCTAAAACAGATTCTTGGGGCAAGGATTTCAAGTACAAACCAGGCATTTTAAATAACCAATTGCTTTGTAATTATTGAAATCTTATAATCTCACATACTCTAAATACAGTTAAAACGTGAAATGGCATGACTTTCCTAAACGTCAAGTTGTAAGATATTTTGAAATTATCAAAAAGCATTCTTATTTCCTTCTCCATCACTGTCTAATAGCTAAACAGTCGCATGATCATGGCAACATGTTTAGAAACCCAATGCTCAGAATGAGGGATATTTCTAGTTTTGTTTCTTCTCATTTTAGCTGGGTCACATTATTTTGAAACAGGCTGACTGAAATAATCATGTATCTGTCTTAGTCTTATACCTCTTCTTTTAGACTGATTGAATATATACAATTACCTAAATACTGTTACATATAAAACCAATCACAAGCCTTGATATCTATGAGCTCAAGCTTTTGGGGTGGTTGGTAGTTTATATATAGTATTGTGGCCTTTATGACTGACTACGTTGTCAAGTGTTCAACCCTTATTGCTTCAATTCTTCTAATAAAAAAGTTGAATTTCAGCATAAGGTGGGCATATGCATTGTTCATACTTTGATATTTGAGCCCAAAGGGCTCTTGCATGGGGGTTGGGTTATATATAAATCAATCATAAGTCTTCATATAACAGTTTAAGCTTTTCCGAGGCGTGGTTCTTGACATATACTAGCTGAATTATTTCAATATTAGATATGGCGAGGAATAAAGGTTTACTCCCATCTGGTCCAACTGAAGTATCCATCCAAAGAAAGCAGCTGAAGGCCATTATTGATTCTCTTCTTCCAGCTTGCATAGCACCTGATTTGGAAACTGGTGTTCCTTTCAGAGCTGAGGCTATTATTGCCAATCCTACTGCTTATGGTGAGTGGTGAGAAGAATGGTATTGATTATTTCTTCATTTCAGACCTTGCTTACTATTCATTTATCTTCTTAGGTTTGGTTGCTAAAATAGTTCTTTTAGTGTGACATGATAACATTGCTTGCTTTGCAAGTATGATGTATATGGTTTTATCATTTGCCTTGATTTGAGACTACTACGTATTTTGTGTACCTGAACTTATATTTCCTTGATGATAACTAAATAATATTCATGGCATGCCATGTTAATATCTTACTTTGTTACAAATACGACTGTTATTTTAAATGATTGACCCTCATGTTTGTGTCACATTAGACTACTTGATATCACAGATTGAAGTGCATTAACATCTTGCATATGTACACAAGTAATTTTCTAATATCAATAAGCCAATAATAAAAAGAGTATATTCTTCGAAAACGAAGAGTGGGCCAGTTAATGTTGAGGCTCAAGCTAAAGATACAATCAGTTAGCTCATAATTAGGAGTCAGTTAGAGGGGGTTAGGCAGTTACAAGGGATGGTTGTTAATTAGGGTCAGAGTAGGAGAATTGAGGGGTTGTTTGTGAGTGGGAAAGCTTGTGTAGAAAAGTAGTCAGGATCTCAAATATTTTTGGCATTGTATGATAACAGTCTGCACCTACATTGGGTACAAAACTGTGTTCTTGTTCATTCTCAGTAATACAATTCAGTCTCTTTCTCTTTCCTTGCTGATCTAGTTCTAACAATTTCCTTTGCTTATAAACATTAATTTGGGCTTTAGCATGTCTTTCCTTTGATCAGGGGGTTAAACTTAGGTAAAATTAAGGATCTTTCTAGTGATCGGTTTTGCAACAAACTGATTGATAAATTACGAACAAATGCAGGAAAATTACTGTTGTTATATCTTATGCTTCATAATATAATACATGTTAGAGATAAATAGAAATTGAGCAGTGTTGATAATAAATTAGAGACAAGGAGAAATAGGGTAAATGTGAAAGTATGTATATAATCAATTTGCTCTTTCATTTTATTTTTTATTTTTTCTGATATCTGTTACATAAGTATAGTACTCCAATTAATATTAACATAAGTGTTAACCTTGTGCCTCCAAAGGAATATATGAAACTTTAAGTCACGAAAATGACTGCTAAGATTAAAGCAAGAAATTCAAGGAGGATTCATTTTAAAAACATGCAGAATTAATCTTATGTTTGGCATGCTTGTTTATTTCTTGACTTCTGTTTTTGGGTATATTTGTATGGTGCATGTTTTTTGTGAATAAATTATGTTCTAACTTGCAGGACATGCACATGTTGCTGAAGCCCTTGGGGTGCCCCTTCACATCTTCTTCACGATGCCATGGACGTGAGTTTAAATTGTTATAACCTTTGAATAGAATTTTTAACAATTGGTCCCCTCAAATATGGAAGATAGGTTCCATAATAATATTAGTATTTGATTTTTTATTTGAATTAATATTTGTGAATGTTGAGCTTTTAAGGAACAACACGGAAAAAAAAAAGAGAGTAGGAATTGCAAAAGTAAGAATGCTAAGATGGATGGGTGATCACATTGAAAAGGACATAATAATAAATTGTTGTATACACGAGAATATTAGAGTAATACTTATTATAAAAAATATGATAGAAAATCGATTAAGGTAATTTGAATAAGTGTATAGGTCATTGGAGGTAATAGTGAGAAGAATGGATGACAAAACTTTAATCTGGTGAAAGGAGACACAAAAGCAATAAATAATATCTCAGAGAATTTGATTTTTAATTGAGTTTGATGGCATTGCATGATCTATGTAGTTGACTTAATTTAGCCAGATAAGACTTAGTTGTTATTATTATTGAAAATTAAACTACTACAATTATCTTTTGAGAACTAAAAGCAAGCATAACACTGTTTCAATTATTCAAATAAATACGACATAATATTTTTCAAATTATTACCCATTTTTCAGTTTTCAAATAAAGTGCATTATAATTCCATTATAATTCAAGGACTTCAAAATGGATCCCTTGAAAGTTGAAATGATGTAGCTATGCTTTGATACAAAGAAATATAGAGGTGGATAAAAAGTGGCAGTCCTTTCTATCATAGTTTTGTAAATATTTGAGGGTGAGGGTATTATTAACATATCAGTTATTGAGAATACTCATAAGAGAAACACTCTTAGTCATCTCCTAAGCAAACCTGAAATTTGATAGTTTAAAGGGAGTGGGAGAGGATTAGGGCAGAAAGAGGGATTGAACCACTCAAGTTTTATCATTCTCTTCCTTAAACTGGCTCCAATTTTGTGACTGGTTAATAGTTTAATTTTGATATAATGTTAGTGTAAAGTTATTTTTAGACTTTTTAGTCCGAAAAAAAAAAAAAGGCAGAGAGATTCAAAAGAACCTTAGAGGAGGTTATTATAAGATATCTTTTTATTAATAATATTTTTAAAAATTTAGTTTTTGACTGAACTTAGGACATCGTGATAAAGCTTGATTGTTATTGTTGTTAGTGTAAAGCTATTTTACTCTATCATCTAATAATGTATCCAAGCATTATTATCTGAAGAAGTGTTTGTTCCACTTGCCAAAATATGTGATACAGAAGGCATAATAGCCTTTTTGGGTACAACAAATTAGTATCCTAATCAAGGATAACGCAGAATCTAATTTACAACATAGGAAAGAGAAAAAAAATTGCTCTTCTAATTCAGGAATTAGCTTGATATGGGCATTGCTATTCTTGACTCGATATCCAACACTCTCCCTCAAGCTGAGTCATAGATGCATGTCCAGCATTCATATTCCTTCACAAATTCTGTGAGCTATAGATCTAAACTCTGCTTCTACTCTATTCCTTGTTACCAATGATTGTTTTTTTACATCTCCAAATGACTAGATTTCCCCATAGTAGTCAATAGCGGTAATAGAGTGCACGATCGCAGAGGTGCGAAGTGACACCCTGCTGCGATTCTAGGGCCATTGTATTGTGGTTCAGTGTATCGGCTGTCGTGCTGCGATTCGCGGCTGTGAAAGGGAAAAATCGCGGTTATCGTGGCTGGTATGCCAAATAGGGGCAAAAGGAGAAGTTTGCCCTCCTTTTCTATAAGTTAGAATGCTTTTTAAAGGAGGCAATCTTGGGATTTTGCTCACCTTCTATATCATGATGTGCTTCTCTATCTTTACAAGTCAAGATCAACACTTCCTCGTTCTCTCATTCTCTTGTTCTTTTGCTCCGTTCTCCATCTCTAACGTCACTTTCTGGTGCAAGTCACCATTCTAGCTAAGTTTCGGTCGTCTTCTTTATCTCCAACGAAAACCAATTTATTTCTAACGTGAGTAGACATGTTTTCTGGCTGTCTTCTTCGTCTCCAGTGAAATCCAAGCTATTTCTAATGAGATGTAGACGTTTTCTAATGATAGTGAGACATTTTCTGGCGAGACTATTTGTGTTAGAGCTTTTTCTGGTGATTGACCACTCTTTGACTTTTTTTTTTCTTTGTTATGATTATCTTCATAATAACGGTCATTCCGCTACTTGCCACCCCATAATAGCATTTTTGGGGTTGGTCACTTTATGCTACTATCCGGGATTGACTACTTGGATTTTTCCAAATAAATGAACAATACCACTAGTTGATTTCCTATCACATATAGATCCAGCCCACTTTGCATTTTAAAATAGGGCCCCCTGATAGGAGTTTTCTTCAAATACTGCAGTATATGGATAACGGTTTCATGTGAGCTTCCCTAGGGTCATTCATGAATCAACTTACTAGGCTTACATAAAATCCAATGTTTGGACAAGTGTGAGTCAGATAAATCAATCTTCCAACTAGTCGTTGATACCTCTCCTTGTCAGTTCGAGGACTCTTCCTTAATGCCATGTTTGACATTAGATTCCATAGGTGTATTAGTTGGTTTGCACCCCAACATTTCAGTTTTTTGTAGTAAATCTAGGATATACTTCCTTTGGGATATGGATATCCCATGTTTAGATCTGGCCACTTCCATCCCAAGAAGAACCTCAAATCACTTGCATCTTTAACTTCAAATTCTTTGTCTAGGAGCTGTTTCAAACTTCTAATTTCCTCATAATCGTCTCCTGTGATGATAATATCATTGACATAAACGATAAAAATAGCAAGTTTGCCCACTTGGAAGTGCTTTACAAACATGGTGTGGTTTATTTGGCATTGAAAGAATCCATCTCCCTTCAAAAGTCACAACCCAAGTTAGCCTATCAAACCGAGTCCTTGGATACTGCTTAAGACCATAGAGTGATTTTCATAATTTGCAAACCTTCCTTGAGTTATCAGATGATTCTAATCCTAGAGGGATCTTTATATAAACCTCTTCCTTGAGCTCTCCACTTAAGAAAGCATTCTTGATATCTAGTTGATGCAAAGCCCAATTCAGATTTACTGCAATGGACAATAGAACCCAAACAAAATCAATTTTGATCAGTGCGAAGGTTTCCTTATAATCTACTCCATATGATTGAGTTAATCCTTGAGCCACCAATCTAGCTTTGTATCTTTTGATACTGCCATCTATATTATATTTTACAGAAAAGATCCACTTGCATCCTATTGGTTGCTTTTCTTTTGGAAGTGAAGAGTACTCCCACATGCCATTCATTTTTAAGGCCTTGATTACTTCATCTACTGCTGCCTTCCATTGAGGTTGTTGGACAGCCTCACAGAAATTCTAGGGTATTTTGATACTGTCCAGATGTACAAAGGCTCTATAATGCTGTGACAGTTTTTGAAATAACATACAATTTCCAATTGGGTGTTGGGTGCAAGACCTCATCCCTTTCCTTAGAGAAAATAGGCATGTCTAGATCAGAATTGTCATCAACTAAATGTGAGGAAGAATTAGGTGTGTTACCTATGTGAGCATTTTCCAGTTCTGAACTTGAGTTAGAACCTTGGTTTTGCCTTGGAAATTTACAGTTTTCTACCTCCATATGAGGCTTCTGTCTTTGATTTCTTCTAGAATAGACTTGCAGCTCCTTTATTTCATTACCAGAATCTTTATTTTTAAGTAAAGCAGTTGGAACCATATTAGTCAATCTTAGATAGCGGCATGGATTGGCTAAACCCAAAAATGTTATAGCGGGATGACCGCTATTTTGAAGACAATAAAAATAGAGAAGGAAAATAGATTAAGGAATGGTCAATCATCAAAAAAAGCTTTAACATAGATGGTCTCATTGGAAAATGTCTCACTATCATTGGAAAATGTTTACATCTCGTTAGAAATAGCTTGAGTTTCATCGGACATGAAGAAAACAACTGAAAAACGTCTTTGCTTACATTAGAAATAACTTAGGTTTTGCCGGAGATGAAGAAGACAATCAAAACTCGACTCCAAATTGTGACTTGCACCAGAAAGTGACGTCGAAGATGGGGGATGAAGCAAGAGAATGAGAAATGGAAGTAGGGTTTGTTCTTGACTTGTGAAGATAGAGAAGCAGGGCATCGCTATATAAAAAGGAGGTGAAATCCTAAGATTACCTCCTTAAAAAGCATTCCAACTTTTAGATAGGGAGAGCAAACTTGCAATTTTTTCCCTAATTGACATAGCGTTCGCGATAGCTGTGATTTTCTCCTTTCACGGCACGAGTCGCAATGCGACAGCTGCTACATTAAATCACGGCGCGATGGCTCTAGAATTGTAGCAACGAGCCACTTTGCTTCGCTTCTCTGCGATCGTGCCCAGTATTGACTACTATGGTAGGAACAAAGTCTTGTGCCATGCTTGTTTCAACTTCTAGTTACTTTGGCTCCACCTCTCCTGATTGGATAGTTTCTACGCTGAATTTCAAATTTTCTGCAGTAGGTATAGGTGCAGAATTCTAAGCAGTAGGTGCAGTAGGCTCAAAATGTGCAGCAGGATTGATAATTTTCTTTCAAGGTTGGTATTCACTCATTCTCTCCCCGTGAGTTCCAACTTTGGTGTAGAAGGGTTGGTTTTCAAAGAAGGTGACATCTAAAGTATGGTAGAATTTTCTGTTAGAAGGGTAGTAGCACTTGCATGTTTCTTTGTTGGAAGATATCTTAAGAATATGCATTTTAAGGCTTTAGGGTCAAGTTTGCTTAGAATTTGGTTGATGGTTATGAGCAAAGACAGTGCAACCAAAATTTTTTGGTGGTAGGTTGGTAATAAGTTTGGTGTTGGAGTAGATGGATTAAAGAATTTGATGAGGTGTCTTGAAGTTGAGGGGCTTGGATGACATTCTGTTTATGAGATAGGTTGAGGAGAGAAGAGCTTCACCCCAAAAGTGATGTGGGAGATTTGTAGAGAGTACAAGGGATTGAGTTTTTGAGTAGGTAATTATCAAGGTTTGGGAGATAAGGTTTGGTGCACAATACCATTTTTGAGTAGGTAATTATCAAGGGACTTGTGAAAGTACTCTACCATTATTGGTTCTAAGGATTTGGATAGAGGTTTGAAACCAATTTGTATCATTTTGTGAAAATTTTCAAAGATTTTCCCTACTCATGACTTTTCCTTCATGAGAAATACCCAGGTAAACCTTGTGTGATCATCTATGAAAGTTACAAACCACCTTGTTCATGAGACATTGTTAACCCTAGAGGGTCTCCATATATCACTATGAATTAAAGAAGATGGAGAGGAGGATTTGTGGATTGAGTGGAATAATGAGATTTGGTATGGTTGGCCAACTACAAATTTCACATTTTTTTCCCAAATACACAAAATTTGGGTGTCCAAGACGATAGTGCCACACCATTACATCATTTTTTGAGGAAGAACATTTGTGTGACCTTTGAATGTCTACTCTTGTGGTCTTCTACTCTTGTGGACATTCTTTAGCACTGTCAATTTTCTTCCCTGAGTCCAAATCCTGAAATTCATGCACTTGGGAGAAATTTAGAAACACACTTCAAATCTTGTGTTAGTTTGCTTATGGATCGTAAATTGCAATCCAAATTAGGGACATATAATACAATTTTCAGTATTATGTCTTTAGAAATGATGACAAGACCTTTCCCGGCCACTATAGAAGTGGTCCCATCTGCTATGCAAACAATAGAGTCATCATGATGAGGGTTATATTGGCTGAACACATTTATATCCTCCGTCATATGGTTTGAGGCTCTAGAGTCAACAATCTAAGGACCTGTTTTCTGGTGGTTGACATGAAAGACAGTGGAAGAATTTGTACTTGTGGTTTGAAAGGTCTGTTGCAGCATTTTTTGTATCATTTCCATCTGCTCTTTGCTGAAAAGAATGGGTTCAGATTCTGCTTTGGCTTTGTCATGGAGTAACCAACATGTCTCCCTTGTGTGTCCTGTTTTTCTGCGGTGATCACACCATCCCCTGTTATTCTTTGGGGATCCTCTTGCAGCAAGTTCAGAGCTTCAGTGGCAATACTATAGTCTGTCCACTAAACATAATTTTCTTTCTGCTTTCCACCTTTCTAACTTTTGCAAAAGCCTCGTGGATGCTAGGGAGTGGCTTAGTGCCAAGAATTTTCCCCCTAACTTCATCCGAATTCTTGTTCAGCCCCAACAAGAACTGGTATATTGGGTCCGCCACTAGAGTCTTGTACTGCTTGCTATCTTTAGGACATTTCCACTCCATGTCTTCATAAATGTCTAGCTTCTACCAATGCCTTGTGAGAGAGTGGTACTATTCAATGACAGAAGAGTCTCCTAGCCGCAGATCATGTAGGAGGCTCTTGATTTCGAAAATGGCCGAGGTGTTGTCTACATTTGAGTAGTTTTCCTTTACTGCATTCCAAATTTCTGCAGCAGTCTCGTAACACAAAGTTCTCACCAGTTTCATTTGTCATGGAGTTGAGCAGGCAGGACATGGCCAAGCTATTCTCAAGCTTCCATTTCTGGTGGGTTGGATCCTTCTTTTCTGGTTCCTTTGGTAATGTAGTCTTCCTTCCCTTTTCCTCGAAGGAAGAGGTGGACAGATCTTGCCCACGAGATATAGTTCTGGCCATTAAGTTTGTAGCTAGTGATTGGAAGGAGGTTTGTATTGGTCAAACTGGCATTTCAGTTGCTGATATTTTGTGCTCATCGGCCGTGGGGACTCACTTTGTTGTCATGGTTTAGAAACCTGCTCTGATACCATGAAAAACTGTTTATTCTGCTTGCCAAAATATGTGATACAAAAGGCATAAATGGCCTTTTTGGGTACAACAAATAGGATCCTAATCAGGGATTACACATAATCTAATTTATAGGAAAGGAAAGAAATAAAAAATTGTTATGCATAATTAGGGATATTAATCCATTGATTCTAGCTATACAATTAACCCGAAAATCTGTTCCTCTAATTCAGGAATCAACTTGATATGGGCATTGCTATTCTTGACTCAATATCCAACATTATCATTGTAGAACTCTTTTAATGATATGATAATTGAAACACATGATTGGATGTTGCTATTAAAATATTTTACATTGACAATGGACGAAATTAAGTCCTAAATTATGATGTGGTTTATTAAATTAGATGCCATTTTAGTTTCTCTACAATCCACATCAACTGACAATTATTTTAACATGATAATATTGCATTGAAATTTCTTCTTATCTATAAGAACAGAAATATCTGATTGGAAAGAAAATATATGTTGAATTGTATGTTGTTACAAAAATTAGAGAACTAATTAGCAAGTGTACTAGATAGTTGTAGCAAGTAATAAAATTTAAAAATTAACGAGTCCCAAGTATCGTTCTCAAGGATTAGGTCTATCAATTACCACTTCACAAATCAATAACTAGTTGAGTCAAACAAATATTGGAGATATTTTGAATTATTTGAGAACAAAAATAATAAAGTGCAGAAATCTGAAAAATACAGTAAAATAAAGCTACGAATTTAAAAATAAAATGATATGTAAATGAAGTTAGGATTGATTTCACCTCTTTATCAATTACAAAATTGAAGTAGATCTGAACTTTAAGTTTCTTAATTGATTGATGATTAATTTTACTAGATTAATCAAAGGACAATTTCTTGCCTCATTGATCCTAATATCTAACTAAATTACCCTAATTCCTTAGGTGTAATTCAATCAAACATTACATTAGGCATTAGAAATTAAGATATCACAATATCACAAATTCTTATCTTTAAGATATCCATAACCTTGACATTTAATTCAAATATGAGAAATAAACTCAATTTTCATTGATAAAGATTCCTCTAAATTCAATTGAATGAATGATTAGTTCACAATTGCATTAAGAAAAGAATTAAACGTTCAATACAATCAAGATCTTAAAATCCAGATCCACTATCAATTTACAATATCAAAATCAGATCCATCAATCCCTAACAAAAATAAATCAGAACATGTTTTTAAAAGAAAAAGAGAAAGAAAGAGTAGGAGAAGAAGAGTTGCAGAATTTCTTCATAAATCCAATCCCCAGTTTGATTTCTCAAGGTCCAGAGCTTGGAAGTCGTCTCCAATCTTCCTATCTAACTCTCCTAAGATGTAAAAATGAAAAGAAAACAAAAAATGGCAAAAGACTCTCATATCTGAACTCTTAATAACTATTTATAATTTTTTCCGCCACCTTCCACGTTGACACTTTAATCACTGAGAGTAATAAAATAGAAAGTTTTCCAGAAGCTTCTAAGGTTGAAGTGGGAACTTTAAACGTCTAAATTTGACACTTAAAATTAGTTTTTCAAATTCTGTTATTTTGCATGGACACTCTTAGCTCTTAGAGTGTTTACGCGCATGTGTTCTGTGCAAATAAGCCTTGTGCGTGGCTACTTTAAGTGACCAGAGTGTCCACGCGCAACTTTGAGTGACTACTTTTAGCAATTAGAGTGGATATTCTCTTCTGCGCGTGGCTACTCTCAGCAGTTAGAGTGAATACTCTTTGCGCGTTGCTACTCTCAGCACTTAGAGTGGACACTCAATTCTGGGCGTAGCTACTCTCAACACTTAGAGTGAACATTCTCTTTGATCTTCATGGATTTTTTTCTTTAAAGTGTTAACTTTATGCATCCAAAATAGCTACGTTCAACACATAACACTTGATTTTTCATCTTTTAAGCTCAATTCCTCTACTTCCTTAAGTTCAATCTTCAACTCAAACATCTTCAGCTCAAGCTTCTGCACAAAGTCTTTTTAAGCAAAATTGTCCAGAATTGGAATAAAATCTAAAATTCTAAACTATTTACACAATTATGAATATTAATATAATTTTTATAGTATTTTCAAGTTTATTTACTATTTAACTCCTTATTTACTAACAAAAACTAAGCTAAAAATATAGTAAAATATGGATTTATCATATATTAAGATGAAAACTCATGAAAAGCATAGAGTAAACCTTGAGTTTAAATTGCCCTAGAAACCTTGAGGATGAAAGAAAAATTTTCCTCTTTCGTAGTTCTTTTGAAATCCTTTTTGGTGATAGCTTCTTACATTTATTTTTTTCAATAGGCAGGCCAACATATGAGTTCCCACACCCTTTGGCACGTGTTCCTCAAAGTGCTGGTTATTGGGTATGTCCTTTGCTGAAACTATTTGCTGCTATCTGAATTTGATAACTCTGTGAATAAACAGCAATATGTCCTTGCTGCTTCCAGCTGTCATACATAATTGTGGATCTACTGATATGGTGGGGCATAGGAGGAATTATCAATGACTTCAGGAAAAGAAAATTGAAGCTTGCTCCTATTGCATACTTCAGTATGTTCCATGGATCAATATCTCATTTACCAACTAGCTATATGTGGAGTCCTCATGTTGTTCCAAAGCCAAATGGTATGGACAAGGATGTAACAAACAGTTTCATAACCTGATGTCCTTTTGTACCTTTTAAATGAATAATTTTTTTTTGTCATTAGAAGTATGATATAATTCATTAGTTGTTACGTTCAAGGGTAGCCTCAGTTGCAGAATAATTTCTGAATTGGACTTGTGGCTATTTAAGTTATCTGTTGTAATTAAATAATTGGATGGATTTTTTTCATATTATTATATAAAGGTTTATCAAAGACAATCTAACTACTATACTTCAAATTAGATTCCCCTAGAGTCCTGAAATACTTTTAGATCTGCTTTACTTACTGTCTCAAATGTGTTGCCCGCACTAATAATAACATTTAAAATTTTGCAGACTGGGGCCCTTCAGTTGACGTTGTTGGTTATTGTTTCTTGAACCTTGAATCAAAGTACCAACCGCAAGAAGATTTTGTCCAATGGATTAAAAATGGACCTAAACCTTTCTATTTTGGGTTTGGGAGCATGGTATGGTGATTCCACCTGAAGTGATTCATTTTATGCAAACAATAGTGTGGCTTTTGTGTTTTGGATTTTAAGAACATTACCACTCAAAGATGTTTGTTACTTATTGGGAGGTCAAATCTTTCTTCAAAGAAAATAAAGCAATAGCATAATTTTGCTTGAGAGGATTTATAGATTGTGCTTGCCATCAAGACCTGGAATGTGCTTAAAATTGCAAAAATAGTGTCTTTATCCATTGCATGTATATATTGTAGTGCAAGCTCAATTTCACTTTAGCATCTTAAGAACCGCAGAAAAAATGAAACATACGGAAAAATATCCAAAATTCTCAATTCATGATTGATAGGACCCTCAAATGGATTATAGGAAATAGAAGAAATTGTATTAATCAAAATGTGAATTACAGACCAAATATTCTAGTAGAGATAAACCCTAACCAGCTCAGAGCTCTTGGCTTTTTTCAGAGAAATGCTTTGTGCATTCCCTCCCATGCTACACACACACTTCCACTTATAACCAACTTACACATTTTGTCTACTTGGGCCTGGGCCCTTTATTCTGGTTCTTACCAATGACCTTTCAAATTTGGATAATCTATGCTCTGTGTGTACCATGGGTTGTGGCTGACTTGGCATAGTAATATATAGAGGCTTTACATTCATATAATAAAATTAGTCTAATTATTTTTCTTGTCACAACTAAAAGTTTCAGGTATTCTCTAAAGATAGAAAAACCTGACACATTATTCCTTAATACCATTATAAAAATTTTAGAATGAAATTTTGGAGTCCTCTAATGAAAATTGAAATTTTGTGTTTCACTTTGTTAGCCTCTTGATGATCCTCAAAGAACTACTAATGTTATAGTGGAGGCACTGAAGGATACAGGACAACGGGGAATTATAGACCGGGGCTGGGGAAATCTAGGGAACTGTAAGTTGTCTCCTTTGTTCGAAATACTCATTTTTTCTAAGAATATATTGTATATTTACTGTTGGTTTGATGTTCTATCACTTGCTTGTATGTTGGTGTCAATGAATGACCATAATACATTATGTTTAATACTAGGATAAGGTTTCCTCTTCTTTCTCCGTTTATTTTTCTCTGTTAAATGTAGTTCATCCATGCTTTTATGAGTTCATATATGAATATTCCAGGGCAATTTGCACTAGGTAGTTATTAGATTGATTTTCTCATTCTGCTATGACAGACTTATTTATTATTCAATAAAAAGTTCAAGTATGACCTATTGGCCTTTAACATAACATGTAGTGATTATACAAATTGATGAGAATTATTCTTTGGTTTATAGAAAGGTATACAAACATGATAATAAAAATTCACTTCGTGAAGTAGTAATTTTAATTTATGAGGAACAAGGAAAGAACTTAACACTGAAAGGCTAAAGCCTAAAACATGCAGGCAATTGGTAAATAACTTGGAGATCAAGCATTTCAGCACTTATTGGTCTACCACAATGACAAAAATATCATTTCTATATCTTGTGTACATTAAAGACAAACTTGCCAAATCTAATCATTATGTGGTTGTCAATTTTTTTCTTTCTCATGCATCTTTTTGCTGTTAATAGTAAATAACTAGGGTGAATGATAACAATTATGAACTTTCTCCACTGATAGTCTTGGTGATAATTGATAAAGATGTCCATAACATATGATATGCATTTCATTGAGAATTCAAAAGTTTACATTACTTTTTAGATAATTATTAGTTTCACCTGCGCTGTTTTCCATTATGCAGTGGCAGAAGTTCCCAACTATGTTTTCCTTCTAGAGGAATGCCCTCATGACTGGTTGTTTCCTCAATGTTCTGCTTTGGTGAGTTCCAATTTATGTTTTCTTGTGGGTTATTTGGAAAATAAAAAAAGATATTTTAAGCCAGTGGGATTTCTTTTGATTTGTAGTTTAATCCTTTGGCTTTTCTGAAAAGAAAAAGTCTTGTGGATGTTCTTTCATAATAGTAAGCCCAGTTTAGATCTGAAAGTTTCCACAGAAAGCTAAGAGGAAGAAGGGGAAGGGAGATTGGTGTGGTTTATGCACTTACATCCGTGATTACAAAATAAACTGAGGATGTTTGGCACAAAAATGCAGGTGCATCATGGTGGTGCCGGAACAACGGCTACAGGACTAAAGGCTGGGGTAATGTTCTATTCAATAGTGTCATTGTCGTATAAGGAATATTTTTCTTTTCCTTAATCCAATGATCTTTTTTATTGTCTCAAGATTTTTTTAATTGCATTATTGGTTGTTATTAAGATAAAGAAAAAGCATTAGTATTTTGTTATTTTTCTCATTCTTCTTTTTTACTGATGTTAATACTAAAACTCAGTGTCCAACAACCGTGGTTCCATTCTTTGGAGATCAGTTCTTTTGGGGAGATAGAATATATCAGAAAGGGTTGGGACCTGCTCCAATTCCAATATCTCAGCTGAGTCTTGAGAAATTAACAAATGCCATAAAATTCATGCTCCAGCCAGAGGTAACTTCTACCAATCCCAAAATATGTGAACAAGCATTGAATTGAAGTGTGAAACAATTTATTTGGGTCTTGCTAACCAGTGGGGCACTGGTTAAGGAATATAAAAGATTTTATTATTTTTTTTCAGAATTCACATAGGAAATGCATTGAAAATCATGGTGGGAATGCATTTATAACATTTTTAATAAAAACTTATTTAGGCATTGGTTAGCGTTTACTTTCAATTGTAAATGAACTTGCTTCATATCCCCGTTAATATACTTTTGTACAATTGTTTCTGATGTAATTTTGGAACTTGATCATAAAATATAGTTGGCCTCGCGAATTGATGGTAACAATCAGCATATTTATATTCTATACCTGCTTGTTTGTGCTGAAACTTGTGTTTATGTCTTCATATTTTGTTGAAAGTAATTGGACATGTTTGTTGTTCTCAAATTAAGGCCTTTCTCATATCATTAAATTCAGGCTTGTTTTATGATTTCACATTTCAATGGCTTCAGGCATTTATTACTACAACATAATGTATATAATTTATAAACAAAATCATTATATTAATGGGATATACAAAATCTTCAGGTAAAATCTCGAGCAATGGAAATTGCTAAGTTGATTGAGAATGAAGATGGTGTTACTGCAGCAGTTGATGCATTTCACCGCCATCTACCTCCTGAATTACCACTACCAACTCCATCTCCAATGGAGGAGGACTGTGCAAATCCTTTGGGCTGGTTTTTCCTCCTACTTGCAAAGTGGTGCTGTTTACCTTGTGGGGGTGTATAGGTACACCCCGGTTGGCTTAAGTATATTCTTTTTTTCTTTTATTCTTTGCATAATTTTATTTTAGGAGCTTTCCATTTTATTCAGACTGGTGGCATTGTTTTGCTTAGTATTCCATTCATTTCAGTCAAGTCTCTTTTGTGAGGTTTTGACTTGGTAAATATTCAAGTTGTGCGTCCCACCACCCAAAGCTGTTTGTATAAGTGGTTCTATGTTGTGAGATAGATTAAGAGTTGAGGGCACTTGTTATGAAAAGAGTTAGGTTACTTTCATCTTCATTGTTTATGCTTAGCCTAAAAATGGTTGCTAACTAGTTGTCACATATTAGTTGTGACATTATCTGATGGTAGTCCTATTACAATAATTAAATCAAAATAATAAAAGGGCTTCTTCTACCAAATCCTTACTGTAATATCTTATATCTTCAATGTATGTTCCTAGCATCAATGTGCTGGTTAAATCCGTTGGCAACAAAGTCAGAACCTTCAAATTGCCAAACCCTGGAGTTGTAGGCAAGTCCTTTCTACGTAATGCCCAAGCATTGTAATATGACAGTTGATGCTAGGAACGTTTTACGTTTGTTAAGGTATTATGACAGTTGAATAATTATCCGTTATAGTATCAAAACATACAAATAATAATTGGTTAACAATCTATCAAGGATATCAGTACCTATATAGCTTGATAAAGGTGAAAATTAGGGTACCAGCAAACATTCATTGATTGCATATATTATAGATTTTACAAATACAAAGTGCTTTTTTTTTTCTGCCTTCATAAATTTATGGTACTGTTACCAAACAAGTTCATTTTTTTTTATACTTAACAAATATAAATATTTTTAAAAATTAATTAAAGGTGTTCGGGTTGAAAAATAAGAAGACACAATGTACTAGGCGTTAATTGCAACAAGAGAGCTTCCAAGGGCCTAGGACACGTTTGGGGTTCACTATAACAATAACATTCAACATATAAATGCTCTGTACCCTTGACTTAGAGTTAGATAACCATATATCAAAAACCGTCAGGATAAATTCCTAGGGTGAAAATAACAAGTCTTGTGATTTTGGACTATTGGGCTTTGTTTGAGAGTCAGATTTTAGGGAGGGAGAAGAAAGAGGAAGTTTATTTAATTATAATCCTTCTTTAAGAGGTTTTAATCGGGAGAAAATGTTTTATAATCCCTTCTAATTTTATATTTTTAAGTTTTCTTAATTTAGAGGATATTTTATTAAATTACCTTAATCTTCTTTTTTATTCTTCAAACACTTTCTTTTTACCTATTAATAGATATATGTTGAAACTTACTCGTTGGAAAGAGACCAAAAGAAAAAATTTATCACATACTTGTGAAATGTTTTGCTATGATTACTGGCTTGAAGTTCTTAAATATATTTATCCGCCAAAATCTCAAAAAGAAAGGAAAGATCACTTATGAAGTATTTGTCTAGATCCAAAATTTAGTTCCACACAAACTAGACATGAAGCATCAAGTACAAATTCACCATTCTAATTGGTCAAACAAGAACCAAAGGAAGAACAAATAGACTAAGAATTGATCGATTAACAAATAATTAAAGGTTACCAAGATCTTAATATAGAGCTCAGGGAAGAGATTCCTATTGAAATAAAGAAATGATAGGAAGAGACAAGACCCTCTTGGTGGAGTGCACTCTATAGTAGAATAGATAATGAAGAATATCAAAATTAGAATCTCACTTTAAGCCAAAACTCAAAATTAGGTTGTTAGTAAGTCAAGATCCATTTATCTTCTATATAAAGTTGTGCATTAGGTTGTGTGGATCAATATGTGTAAAAATGAATGTTGTAAGATAAAGTAGATTATCTGTCTAGTGTAATTCTAAAAGAACTTTAAGAAAAGTTTGTTGTACAATATTTATGTAAGTAGTGACCTATATTTCCTATCCTATTTTTTTACTATAAAATTATGTATTTTTTTTTTTTCTAAACCCTCTCTTTATTTGAAAACAATGAACTTCTAATATTCATATTAGAGTATGTTTTACATTTGCCTCTATGCAAAGATCTTATGCATCACAAAACTTCTGCCTAATGATCTAAGCTTTAGTTCTATCTATCATAAAAAGAATAAGGTGAATATAGTTGTGTTATGAGAAGGATTGCTTATGGTTGGCTATCTTGGGGGTAGTAAAATTATCTTGTTATTTTTGTGGTATATGAAATTTTCAAGCAAGTATTGGTATAAAAGTCACACAACTCTATAGGTAAGTGGAGGTGCATATGGAATGTATGGTGAGAGAAAGGCAAGTAGGAAAGGACATATATTTACCTAACTTTCAATATGGTTGTATTTTAATGTCATGCCATCAATGTACTTTTCTTTAAGAGCTCTTCATTTAATTCTTTGTAGCCATATACCATATACAAGTTATGCTTTCAAAATGAAAAAAGAAGTTAAAAAGAAACACATAATTGCTTTTAATTAGTCTTTCTCCTTTGTATACTCGGATGGGAAGCAAATGTCATTGCTTAGATTCATATTTTGCAACAAAATTTTACAAAGCTGCTTTAAGTGCATGTTTTATGTATTCAAATACAAACAACATATTTTTTGAAAAGCAAAACATACAACTTTTGATCTAATAATTTGAGATTGAAGAATAGTTTAAAGAAATACCTAAAAATATTAAAATCATACCAAAAAAAATTGAATATCTTAGATTAAAATATATGATTTGTTAACTATGATTTTACTATAAACATATTCAAAAAACTAGAATATGTAGTAAATTACTCCTCTCCCATGGTAGCTTAAAGTCTGCACCAAAATTCACCTTTATTATTTCTTGACACTAATCTTGGTTGAAACAAAAGAAGAAAAATAAAATCAAATTCACTTATTTTCTCCATAATAATATTAACAAGCAATTATCACGATTACTACCAAATAAAGTAAAGTTTAATTTAATTCAAAAAGTGGTACAACCTAGATCATTTTCTAAAGAGAAATTTGAATAAAAGAAATTTAAATTCAATCAAAATTGTAACTCAAACTATGAAATTACAAGAAAGAGGATTTGAATTTAATAACAATTAAAAGAAAAATATAACTACATATATAAAATCAATATTGAAATGAATCAACTTAAGAAATTTAAACATAAAAATTTACAATTCATCTTAGATAACTAAACATTTTATTTGAAATATATTTTGTTACTTTCAAATCAATCACATAAAAATCTTCAAGCATTAAATCAATTTTTAATCCTAAATCAATTAGCAATCATGTAATTAAATTTAGGTCAATTGATTTAAATTTTAATCTTGTTAACCTATATAATATATCTACAATCAAGTCTCTAATTAATCCTAATCAATAAAAATTGATCAATTCAAATTTAATAAAGATAAATTTGATTATTAGGAATTTGTTCCAGTTCTGTTCAAAGTTATCAATCTTAATGAAGCACTGACAACAAAATATGAAAATTAGAATTGAAAAAAAATATAATTTAAATTAATATTCATGTTCAAAATTGAAATTAATGTGCGATGAATTCTTTAGGTTGATAAAAGAATTAGCTTTCTATCTTCATGGGTGAACAAAAAATGAGAGAAAAGTTCAAAAAAGTACAAAGTTACAACATGAGTATTCTTTGCTAAACTCTCCAATATGAACTATTACATGCTTAAGAATATGGTTAAGTCTATAAAAAAAATTAAATGGTCCAAACTACTCCATTCTAGACCCAATTGACAAAATTTGGGCCCAAATATTACATCTTTATAGTGTAAATCTTGCCTAGAAACTAAACTATTTAGGCTTTGACATCTTTAACAAATTTGTAGAAATTTGTGTTCAATGAGTCAAGGATTACTCAATTCCAATATCTACAACTCAAAATATGGTATATAGAAGCCAAAAAGGTCAAGAAGATGTGAAATTTAAAAATAGAGTAAAATTCATGTAATTTCTCAATTAAGCTCAATGTCATCAAATTCACTTGATTTTCTCAATTATTGACACGAAGAATGACACTAATGTAATGCACAAATTATTCCTCTACTAGACACAATTTTTTCTAAATTTGATATCAATAAGTTACTTACTTGCTTATTGCATAAAAAAAACATATATGATATATATTTATTATACAACTATTTTATATGTTGTGTCAATTCCTTGAAGTAATCATTATTCCTATTATTATTATCCAATCTTAAAAACTCTCATTCTTTTCTTTCAATTCTATTAGGATGGTTAACTCCCTTCAATTTATGAAGAAAAAAAAATAGGCGATGAAATTGAAAATTTTGCCATGAAAGGTTTTTCTATTGATCAACTTTACTAACTTATATAATAGTCTCTTTATAATTTGTAAACCATTCTATTAAAACCTCTAAACATGATTTTATGGTGAAAATAATACACATATTAGTAGAAAACTATTGAGATTTATCCCTTGATCGACATAAACAAAAAGAATTTGTTAAAAAAATTGTGATAATTGTTAAGAATACAAACCTATAGTTGTTGTATCTATCTATTTCAGTCATCATGAAAATTTAGAAAACTTCAAAAAGAAAAGAAAATATTACACAAATTAATGATTATTTTTAACCAGTAGACTCAACATGCAAAGATTATGGACTAAGAAATGACAAATTATGACATTATTCTAAATTCTAAGATTCCAATGCAAAGATTATAGATGTAATTCTTACTAATGAAATGTAACAAGAAGAAACAAGATCCTTTTGGTAGCATGCGATGTATGACAACATGAATAATGAAGAATATCAATTTTACAATCTTTCTTCTTCGAGTTAAAATTGGAGATACATACATCAATATTCTAACTTCTCCTTATCATGTCTAAAGCAAAGTTATGGGTTGCTTTACTAAAATATGTCATTTGTATTTGGGTATGTAAAATATTTTATACTTACATTAGGTTTGTAAAAGTTTATGTAAAATGTTGATGTAAGTAAATGATGTTTGTTTGTTTGTATAAGGAAAAGAGTAGTTATAACATCCATCGAGAAATAAACATTTGGTGTTTGCCTTGTAATTCAACATGTTTCTTCTAAATTTTATCTTTCCTTCCAAAAACTTAAATTGTAAATTTGTGTCATAGCTCTCTTCATACAAAAGCAAGTATGTTTTACACTATTCCTTATAAGAATCCTTTGAATAAAGAAAAAATACCGACAAATGATTTGTGTTACATTCCTTCTTATCATAAGAAAAATTTAAAAGTAATAGTGCTCTAAGAAAAATTTCATAGACTTATAATATCCCAAGGTAGTGAAATAGTCTTGCCTATTCTTTTAGCATGTGTGACTTCTAACTAATGTTTGTATCACAAGCCTTACAAATATACAAGAAAAATGAGTAAAAAAACT